AACTGATGAAAAACACTGCTGAGGGGAGCAGCGGGCAAGACAGCCTTGTGGATCACTTCTGGGGCCGGGGATCGAACTTGCACTGAAGTGCTGCGGCTGCTTGCAATGCTGCGCTTTAACCAGCTACGCCACCAGGGAGGGCCCAGTGCTGAGTTTTAACCACTAGACCACCAGGGACTGGTGTCTCACAAAGCCGTAGCAGGAACTTCATTGACTCTCAGGCAAGCAAACTAAAAGAGGAACATTTGTTTAAAGAAGTAGATATAAGGAAAAGTTTATTAAGGAGAAAAGGAACAGAAATAATGTGGGACATCCAGGGCTGAGGAACAAAGCCAGGAGGGCATAAGGCAGCTGCGTAGAGTCCTGCCTCAGGGAATGGAGGCCTTCTTTCCCTGATTATTCTAAAGCCCCTGTCACAAAGTCTCTTTGTGATTGGTTAGTTCTCAGTGGTCTACTCTGTCTTCATAACTCTGTGTCCAAAGCCATATCTTGCCTTGCAGCCCGTATCTTAGAGTCCTTTTTTATTGCCCTTGCCCAGAACTGTCCTGCTATGTCTAGTCCAGGGGGTGTTTGACTAGTCCCTTTGGAATTTGTTTGACTTATCTCTGGAGGTTTCCTTATTCCTCTGAGGCTTTTCCTATTCAATTCTGCCCCTAGAAGCTGTCTGCTTACCCTATGACTCACTAGCTCCTATGACCCATCACAATCTCTTACTCTTCCCTCCCCTGTTCTGACCACTCTTCCTACTCCTTCCTTGCTATATACCTCCGAACTTTGGTCAGCTTCAAGTCTCTTGGCTGCTTACACTTCCTGCCAAGCCTCAGCACTCTTCCCACGCTGTCCACTCTGTCCTTGGCTGATGGGAACACCTTTAGGGTTGCAGACTAGGCACCCTGCACCACCCAGTGACATTCCTCTGCCCCCATCTTATAGTGCAAGAGAGGGAGGCATTGCACCCAATGAAAGTGACAGTTATAAAATGCTAGAAGTGGAGTCTGGGGACCATGGAAAATCTGTGGGCACTACTACAGAGTCCCCATGCTGACTACTTGCTGGCCACTTTTACCAAAAAATTACAAATTAGGGCCCTCCCTGGTGGTGCAGCAGGTTAAAACACAGCACTAAGAAGCTAAAGCCACTTCAGCATGAGTTCGATCCCCGCCTGCCCCGGAGGTGACCACATGGCGTGGCAGACCTCTCCTGACCCGCCCGCTGCTCCCCTCAGCAGTGTACTTCATAGATCTGCCTGTTCTGCTCCCCACTCTGTCTCTGGTGAAGCCTCTCACCCTCCACATCTCTGGTCTGTACCCCGGTTCCATATGAATAAATAAATAAATCTTTAAAAAAAAAATTACAAATTAAGTGAGGCTACTGAGACCTGAGGACAGAAGAGGGATCCCACGCAGAACTGGGAGACATCTTCTCAGAGAATAGTGACTACTGTCCAAACTCCTCTTTCTAATAATTAGTGTGCCACTGAGTTGCTATCAGACAGTTGTGTCAATGATACAGGGTAATATGTGTGTCCGGTGAATCAACTGTCACTTTGAGATATGTCCTAAGTTTTTTGTCTGGTCTCAACTTTCTTTGGATATTTGAGAAATCCTGAGATAATTTAAGTAGTGTCTCATTTCCCACCTTCCTCCTTTTTGGACTACACTAATTGCAGCCTTTCTTCGCTGGACTCTTCCTTTGTGTCATCTTTCTGGCACAGAAAGTTCTCCAAGTCAATGCATGCATGCCATCTGTGACCACCTTGTTCTCCCCCTCACTCTGGTGGCCTGAGTGAGGCACTTATATTGGGTTTGGGTTCCTCAACTATAAAGTAAGAAGAAAAAATCCAGATCCTCCCTGGTGGCGCAGCAGGTTAAAGCACAGCACAACCCTAAGAACCTAAAGCCACTTCAGCATGAATTCAATCCCTGCCCTGGAGGTGATCCACATGGTGCGGCAGACCTCTCCTGACCTGCCTGCTGCTCCCCTCAGCTGTGTACTTCATCTGTTCTGCTCCCCACTCTGTCTCTGGTGAATCCTCTTTCCGTCCCTGCTCCTCTGGCCTGTATCCCAATTCTATATGCATAAGTAAATAAATCTTCTTAAAAAAAAATCCTACCTTGTAAACCTTTATTGGGGATTAAGTGAAGTGAAACAAATATGAATTGTGCCTATACAAAGTAAATGAATCATAGGTTATTTTGTGACTATAAGGATAACAAACCAGGGCCTCCCTGGTGGCCAGGGGTTACGTCTTAGCACTATCACCAGTAGGGCCTGAGTTCTGACCAGGGTTCTGACCCACGTGGCACAGCAGACCTCTCCTGTCTCACTCACTGATCCCCTAGCAGTGTATTTCAGTAGATCTGCCTATTCTTCTCCCCACTCTGTCTCTGGTGGATCCTCCACCCCTCCACCTACCGCCCCTCCCCCCACACACACACCTCTGGCCTATGCCCCAGTTTTCCTACACAACAAATAAATAAATAACATCTTAAATATATAGGATAACAAAGTGGTAGAATACTCATTATATTTACTTATGTGGTCACTTTTATCTGTCCCTTTAATCTGGTTTCACAGTCATGGTATTTGTCTCTCTACTTTACAAATAGGCTATATGAGTCTGTCATTTTCCCAGAAATGTCGTTTTTACATAGAACTCTCTCACTATTATTTGTGGTATTTTGTGTTCTTCCCATCACCCCCCTTCCCTTCACTCTCCCTCCCAAATGAAGGCTCACTGCCCTACTCTATCTCACTCTGGCTGGTTTTTCTGCGTGGAACTCTTTCCTTATTCTCTATCTCCATATAGGATTGCTTTCCCTTTCATTCATGCCATATATTCAGGATTGCTTTCCCTTTCATTCACGCCATATATTCAGGGCTTCAAGAACTATCCCAGGCTTTTGAGATAGAGCAGTGAGTAAAACTCATAGAGCTAACATGCACAGGGAATGAGTGGGAAATGAGAAGTAGTTAATTAGTAAATGAATTTAATCAATGTCAGGTGCTGGTAGTTATGACTCAGTAGAACTTGATGGCAGATAAGGGTGTTACTATGATTTAGGGCTATTTGAGAAGGGTTCACTAATAAGGGGCTGTTTGCAGAAACCGGAAGGAAAAATGGGTGATATTTTGCAGCAAATCTGGGAGAAAGTTCCCAGGAAGAAGGAATAGAAAGTGCAGAGGTCTTGAGGCAGAAGATAGCTAAAATACCCTTCCTGGGTGAGCTCAACCTGATGCTCAAATTTATATTCTCTCTTACATATATTTTAATATATAGTTTTCAGTTATCTTCTTTTAGATTATAAATACTGTAAGAGCAGGCATCATATCCATTGCTGTTCTCTCTCATTTCTATATCCAAAATGCACCCTTGTGTTACTGAGGGCAAATTATTAAATGAATTAGTCAATTTGGCCATTAGGTCATTAATGACTTAATTTGACCATTAGGTCATTAATGATATTGTGCAATCATCACTTGCAATGTTCCTTTTGCCACATGTGAGAATTTTCTGGAATGGAAGGGGGTCTCCCTTGAAAAACTGGCATGTTCTTCTCTTTTGGTTAATGAACACAAATGGAGCATAATTTCTATTTTATGTGCAAGGAATTTTGTACTCTGTAAAGACAATTCAAATAAGATTTGGAGTTGGCACGTTTAGTTGTGCTTTCTCTTGATCGTAAAATTGTATTTCTAGTCTTCTTTTGGATTTCTCATTTGTGTTATTTAACTGAGTCAAAAATGGAGTGATACTTAGGTAGATGAGTAGAAAGGAAGAACAGAAGGAAAGAGAGAGGAAAGAAAATATATTTCTTCACACTATTGCAAGTATCACTCAGAGTGGTGCCCCTTTGCCAGGTGAGACTGGGAAAGTAGCAAGCTCATGCTTTAAGTGTAATGATAGCTTCCTGACAGGTCTGCTGGGCACATATCAGGACCAGCTCCAAATATTTTACACACAAGAGCTCATTTAATTTGTGACAATGCTATATATAGAGTAGCAATTAGTACTTACATATGAGTACATTAAGGCTCAAAGAGGCTAAATTTTTTGCTTGAAAGAGAAGAAATGAGTGCCTTGCAATGGCCTGGGCAAACCTGTCACAATTAAACCCAAACTGTTCTGATTCTGCCTTATTAACTCACCCTGAGGTGCTGAGAGGGGTACTTTATAAACACCCATTTTCCCTTTACAGCAACAATGTGGGTTCATCCCATTTATTTCTAAAGGCCTTTTAAAAATAGTGAAGAAATGCATGACACTCATTGTAAACTAGCAAGTTGGGTACCGGGAAGCCACTCAGACCTGTGCTGTAGAAAGGTGACAATAAATTCGGTGTTGGCAATTCTGAGGAACTATAAGAAAAAATGGAGGTGTTCCAACTGGTCCTGTAAGTGAAATAAATCCCTCGTTGCTTTCTTGTGGTTTATGGCTCAAGAAATTGAAAGCAACCGGAGGGCTCCGAATTCAGGGACCGTGATCCCAGGGTATGCGGACTGTTCATACACGCAGATTCGCGTGCGCACAGACACACCCCCCAGACGCGGTCACAAAGCACAGCTCGGCACACTCGCACGTGTAGGGAAGGGCGCATACACATACATACCCCCACCACCACACACACAC